AAGACAATAATGCAGAAGGCAATAGTGTCGAAGGCAATAGTGCAGAAGGCAATAGTGCAGAGGGCAATAGTGTCAAAGGCAATAGTGCAGAAGGCAATAGTGCAAAAGGCAATAGCGCCTGCACTTTGCCTAAGGCAAAAGTAGCAGCCAGTTTAATTCACCGCCACCGCCATGACAACATTTTTTTTAAACGAATTATTCCATCTTTATCTACATTTACTGAAGACAAAATAATAAAATTGCAAATGGGAACATTGCAATTAATAACAAACATTGAACTTGCTCTAATAAAATATCAATAATTTAGCTTGGGTAAGGTTTAGAATCAAGTCGCCTGAATTTAGGGGTGGGGGTGGTGGGTGAAAGGGAGGGGAGTTGTAGAGTCATCCCCCACTTCCATTTCCTGCCGGTCGTGCTTAGTTTTTTTTATAAATTTTTAAAAATCTCGTTTTGATGTTATGTTTTCGTAATGTTTTTGAAAATATAAACCTGATTTGTGGGGGCAGAGAGTTGAGGGAGGGTAGTCCAACGTCACTCTACGTGGCGCAGTCGAGGGAAGCTCGGTCGACGGAGCCCCGCTTTGCGGGGATCCTATTTCTGGATGGTTTATAAAAAAATAACCACGAAGGGGATGGAGGGATCTGTTCGCTCGCTTCGCTCGCTCACTCGACCCCGCAATCCCCTTTTAACCTAACCTATCTGAGTAGGGGTGCCCCAAGTCCCAAGCTCGCTTCGCTCGCTCTTGCACCAAATAAAACACCAAAATGTTAACTTCCACCATTTCCAAAAACGTCGTAAAATAGCAAGCAATCGGTATCGAAAGGGGTAGTGAAGTCGTCCAAAATCAGGAGGCAGATAATAACAATAAGGAGCACATTCACGTAAACTCGGAAGCAACGAAATGACGCTTATAACGAGTCGCGAAGTAGAGTATAAACGTAGTGATTATATTCTCTTTGGTCGAGTATATCTGTTACTGATTACTATCAATGTCAAAAGTTCCGTTTCAGGTATTAATTAGGTGATTTATGAATATTTTTAGAAAATTATATTAAATATTTCGACACAGCTCCGGCAGCTAAAATTGCATGGGGGCGCTTGAGTGTGGGGGGGTCAAGGGGGCTTCCCCTTAAACCCCCCCACTGAGACTCCTCAAATTCAAGCGACTTGATTATAAACCCAACCCTTTAGCTTAAAACATTAAGCTAAAGGAGAATGGGATTTTTGGGCCTGAAGTTAACTAATTGCCTTATACTTTAAAAAATTGGCCATATTTTTCTTAAGTAAAATACAAAAAAGTAGCTTGACAAATCTTGCCAGATTTTCAGCAATGAATTGTTTATATATACCTTTTCAAATGCTCCTAATTTCATCTTGTTAACACTTGGGCCCAAGAATGTATGGAGACGTCTCCTTCTCCTTTTTGGTATTTTATTAGAGCAAATTTAAAAAAAATACAGAATGCTCAATTCACACTTCAATACCAATGTAAATTTCTTATTGCCGAAGTGGTATAACAATTGTTACAAATATATTTGTATGTAAACATATTACACCGTGTAGTGACGGTGTAAGAATATCTACTACCTCATATTGTCGCGTGAATGCCGTAAGCGACAGAGGGAAACTGAAATAAGAGATTGGCAGCAGCTTCTTCCTGATAACAACTTAATTGTAAAAAAAACTGCAGTTGTCAACCCGCCTGCCGGGCGTGTCAACTGTGGCGAAATACCTATGAGACTCGCTATGGGGGAGGTCTATGTTCAGCAGTAAATTTTTGATTGGCGTATTGAATACTTTTATCATAAAAGAGTAAGGGTTACACAAACAACCACACAGTCCAACCAATGGCAAGTATCAAGTATAAGTATGTAGCCCATTAAAAGTTACAGCCTATATATACGTCCCACTGCTAGGCACATGCCTCCCCTCATTTCTGAGAGGGTTTTAGGGCAAGGAGATGTCCGCCGCGCTGCCCCAATGCGTGTTGGCGAACTTCACATGCCTTCGAATTTATTTATTTTTATTTCTCAAACATGCACGTTTCCTCACGATGTTTTTCACCATCAGGTAAATCACCACCCATGGAGCCCATTGAAACCACATTATTATTTCTCACAGCTGGGTAAAGTCTATTCTCTCTCCACTCTCTCACTCTATCTCTCTCTCTCTCTCTCTCTCCAGAATCACCGACTAGTCCTTCATGAAGGAGTCTAGTTCATCCCGCCATCTCTGCCTGGGTCTGCCTCGCTGGCGTTTACATTCTATAGGGACCCATTGAGTTGTCACTTTGGCCCATTGGTTATTTGGGATTCGGCAGATGTGAAATTGAAAACACATATATTCTTAAATAATAATTAAAATATAGATTCCATAGCATCAAGATTCCGGTGCTAAAATAGAACGTCACGGGTACCGTGGCATCAACGTGGTTATTAGGGTTTCTGGTTCTGATTGGTCACCGTGCAAAACAGTAGCATTATATTTCTATCCCCAGTAAGCCGACCCATTAGTGTTACAGCTGAAATATGTCTCTATCACGTTGAGAATATGTCTTATTGCGACGCATTTTAAACTCATAAAACTATAGACCGGAGATCCTTTTTAGTCCCCAGGGGTGATAACGCATCTGTATTTTGATTCTTAATCGAGATTAGATGTCTATTGTTTATGGACCATAGCATCCACTTCCTATTAGGTGGACTGTGTGCTCGTTTGTCACGCGTATTCTTAAAAGAAAACTATGCATTAATAATATAGTTAAAAAAAACTAAAACAACACGCATTTATCATGATCGATGATAATCTTAATGAGGATACTAGGTCATAGTCTCGGTTTATTATTCCCGCAAAAAAAAATGCAGATTTGGATAATCTGAATTTTTTTGCAGACATATATTTTTTTTTTGACAACGGGTAGTATTAGTATGTGAAAACTGTATTAAAACTCTGTTATATTAAGACATACATACTTAGTCAGGTCATGAGTTCTGTCAAACACTTTTTATAACATTAATGATACACTTTTTGAAATGAAAGGTAATTTAATTTAGAATACAATTTTATTTACATTATTCAAAATGCCCTCGCCTATTTTGAATACATGCACTTAATCGACGCTGTCAATCATCAATCGCAGCACGCAACACATTCATATCTATTTCTGCCGCTGCTTTAGCCAAACCTCGCAGAGATCACAAATTCTGATGAGGTTTAGCGCAGACTTTTTTTTATAGAAGAGGGGGCAAACGAGCATGCGGCTCACCTGATAGTAAGTGACTACCGCCACCCATGAACAACCGCAACACCAGGGGAATTGCAGATGCGTTGCCGGCCTTTTATAAAGGTGTAAGCTCTTTTCTTGAAGGTTCCTAAGTCGTATCGGTCCGGAAAATTCGCTGGTGGTAATTGATTCCACAAGGAAGTTGTGCGAGGGAGAAAACTTCTTCTAAATCGCACAGTGGTGGACCGCCAATCATCCAGATGGTATGGATGGTAACGCGAGTTTTGTCGCGATGTGCGATGGTGAAATTGAGCGGCTGGAATTAGTCCGAACAATTCCTCAGAGCACTCCCCGTGATAGATGCGATAAAATACGCAAAGAGATGCAACATCTCTACGCAGTGCCAGTGTATCGAGCCGATCAGAAAGAACTCGGTCGTCGACGATTCGAACCGCTCTGCGCTGGATGCGGTCAAGTGGAAGGAGCTGGCACTGGGGTGCCCCGGCCCAGAGATGAGAACAGTATTCCATGTGGGGCCGAACTTGCGCTTTGTAAAGTTGCAAGCTATGTGCCGGCATGAAATACTGTCTCGCTCTGCTGAGCACGCCAAGCTTTTTAGAGGCCAATTTGGCCTTCCCTTCCAAGTGACCACGAAACTGCACACTATTCGATTTCTCCTCCAAATGTTGCCATATCATGTAATCCAGTGGATTTAAATCTGGACTAGAAGAGGGCCAGTCTTCATGTCCGATAAAGTCAATTCCACGGGCGGTCAACCAGTTTTGCGTACTTCGTGCCCTATGAGCTGGTGCAGAGTCCTGTTGGAATATCCAAAGTCTGTTTCTGAACATTGTTTGAGAAAGAGGTTTCACTATGTTTGTTAGGACGGTATTTTGGTACACCTCGGCACTGGTTTTTACACCTTTTTCACAGAAAAACACCTCAGTCAAGTCTGAATATGAGACTCCAAGCCAAACCATGAGTGACGAAGAATAATGTCCTCGTTGAACCCTCAGAATACGCGTGCTGGCTTATTCACTGCTGTGGGCATACACCTTATAGTTTTGTTTATTATAACTTTCTTCGATGTTAAACATTTTTTCATCTGAAAACAAAATTTCGCAGCATTTTTTTCCCGCGTACCGCCATAACAAAGCGCGAGTTCTATCGAGCCTAATTTTTTTCAAACGCTCGTTCGAAAAATGTCCGGTTTTCTTACGATAAGCTCGTAGTTGTAGGTTCTTCATTGATCACTCTTTTGACCGTGGTTCTGCTTAGGCCCATCTGAAGAGCTAAGATTTGATCGCGGGTGTCCTAACTGTACCAGGTCGACCGGTCCTCTTACGATCTTCGAAGCTTGAATCTTCAGTGAATCGTTTGATAGTACTATAAACAAATCGTAGGGTTTTTTTTTAAATTTTTTGTAGAATATTGAAAATTTCTTTTGACGCGTAACCACAGTGGTGCGACGCGATAACCGCTACTCTTATCTTCTTTCTTCGACCACTCCATATTTGAAACTGAATGAAAATTAATGTCTTTTTTATTTTCGCCAAGCGCAAACGTTATATTTTTAAAATTGGTGAAGTTCATCTGGCCAGTATTCACAAAATTTTAAATAATAAGGTTTTGACAGAACTTATGACCCGACTAAGCACATACATACAAACATAGTATATAAAGGTAAAGCTTATAATAAAAGGGTGTTAAAAAATCGTTTTACAGGCCTTGGTTTGGAGAGGCCTTGAATTAAAATTTATTATTCTCTTTGTTTTAGGTATATGGCGAGCCGTTCCTGCCGCCAAAGCATATTATAGTGGAGTTCTTGAGGCGTTTCCGTGCTAGGAAACCAATCCGTTGCCACCGCTCATATAATCTTGTTCGTTGTAAGGTGCCATTAGAATCGGCAAACTTGCTCATGGAGGCCGACGGCAGTGTCGTTGGTAACTACTTTTAAGTACTCGGCAACGAGACGATGAAATTGTTATTTGCAATTTTAAGTGCTGACTTACCACGTGCTCTGCGGTAGATGAAAACGAGTACATATGAAATTACCGTGTAATAGCGGTGTAAGAATATCCACTACTCCATATCATTCCGTGGGTGTCGTAAGAGGCAACAGAACGAAACATATTACCAGATGGGCAGCAGCGTCTTCCTAATAACAACTGAAAAAAAACTGCGGTTGCCAACCCGCTTGCTAAAGGTGGCAACTAGGGCAAATATCTCCCCTATGAGGCAATCTATGGAGGAGCCTTATGTTCAGCAGTGGACTTTAATAGGCTGTAATGATAATAGTAACACGCATAACTTTCTCAGGAATGTCTGCCCAGCAATGAGCATTAGAGGCAAGATTATGTTTGTACTACCCGCGTAGATTGAAGAGGATTATAAATGGCGTCGCCTCTATTCACCTCTCACTCGCACGCTCTCGCTTCTATATTTACACCGGTGACGATTGCAGGAAAACGTATTCCAACTTCAGGCCCAAATAAAAGAACGTAAACAGTTATTGTTTTATAGTATTACCGCTTTTTTCTTCGAATTTATGTGGAATTGCAACGTTTTTAGGTGGTCAAAGCGGAAAAAATATAGAAACATAAATTACATACGTTTACGATCAGGAATAATTATGTTTCAACATGTTTCAGGGAGATAACACAGCATGCTATTTTTTTCGTATGTGTAGTTAACTAAGGTGATGCCGTAAGATTTAAAATACAGAAGACAGCCTTTTATGTTACTCGGTGGTTAATTAACCTCAAATATTTTGAACTATACGAAGCTTTACGCCAATATCTTTTAACCACTCCATCAAGTTTCTCTAGCGATTGCCTTTTCAGTGGCGCTGGATTCATTAACAATGATTTACGAAACTCTTCATTTAGAGAAACAGTTTCAAAACTAATTTGTGTTTTTCATTTTCATTACATTGTTTTTTCAACCGACTTCAGAAAAGGCTCCTCCTTTTTTTGAAGTCGGTTCTCAGTTTGACTGTATTTTTTATGTGTTACTTCAGAACTTTTTTCTAGGTGAACTGATTTTGATGATTCTTGTATTTAAAGCTGGTGCTTCTCATGTGGTCCCATATAATTTTGATCAAGATCTGGCCAATAGTTTTTGAGTTATCCTTAATAATGCGTATTTAATTGACTTCGACTACATTGATAATGTTCTCATTTTGTTTATATTGATAACCGTTGTACAAAATTTTTAATTTTATCAGTTTTTTTATTTTCTTCTAAGAATTAAAGTGCTTGCGCAATATTTCCTTTACTTAAATCTTAAACTTAGAAAAAAATATCTGTCAAGGTTCTATCTTCTTTATCCCTATTTAAAAAGTCAAGCAAGTGAATGATTATTTTGCGAATGTAGTCATAAGTCTGACAATATCAGAACGGATTAGACATAAATGGACTGTAAGTCAGGAGTTGTTTTTTGAGGAGGAAAGAAAATTGATAAAAATGTATTTAAATAAACTACGAATAATATAACATTTAAATCAATATAATATCGTTTTTCTAATATATGACAGTACATGCGATGAGCCGCCATTTATAATCCCATTCTTTAACTGCACGGACAGTATTTATTAAGAGCCAATTTTTCAATCATTAGATAAAAGTTCCATAAAATAAATTATAATCTGACTAAATATAAAAGTAAAACAATTGAACTATTTTATTCATACTGCTGTAATTTTTAATATATTAGTTTAATACCTATGAACGTTATTTTAAAACTTATGGACTTTACATGTGTGATAGATCCATGCTGCAGCTGTATTATAGTTATAGCGCAAATAGGTTTGCTCGACCGGGGAACCACGCTTTCACAGAATACCAGCGTAAAATAACAGCTTAATGCTGCTTTGTTCCGTGTGGTGACTAGAGAACGGAGTTTCACTGGAAATGAGGTATTCCATCTTTGACTCCAGAGGTGCCAACGCATCATCTGCATTTTGATTCTTAATCGACGATAGATGTAGATGTCTATAGGCCACAGTATTTACTTATTATCAGACGGACTGTGTGCTGGTTTGTCACCTTTATTATATAAAAGAAAAACTTTTATCTGAGAATGAAATAGTCGCCCATAAGTAGAATACCATAATGCAGTACATTATGGTATTCTACTGCCCAGCGGGGCTAGCCAATAGGACATTCTACCACCGTTAACCGAAAGCTTAAGAAATTAATGATAATGTTATTATACCTAAAGGTTAAGGCACGTGACTTATGGCCAAATATTCAAACGCTACTCAATTTTAAGATGTCGTTAAGTGTCGTGGTGTCACACTCACTTTGACTTAAAGTGATAGGGACGGCACGATAGTTAACGACATCTTAAAATTGAGTAGCGTTGAGTATTTGAGCAATAGCGTTGATTTCATTCATATTTATAGTGTTTTGTAGAGTACTACAAAACACTATAAATATGAAGGTGACATTCTGCGCTTGATAGTAATCAAGCGCAGAATGTCACCTTGGTTAGCCCCGCTCGTGTAAATCTGGCTTGAATTTAATTGACATTTTATAACTCTATAGGTGGGGCCACAATATACTTTCGTTTAGCAAAGGCTACGTTTTACAAAATGCCAGATTCAATTAGAACGGAAATAATGACTGCATTCGGCAGGCAAGACCAAGTGCGTTTACCCGAACCGATGGCTGTAGATGATGAGGAAGAATGGAATGAAGATTGGTAGATTATAAGTGCATTATATTTACAACTTCAAGGAGTTTTTTTTTTAATTTATGATTAAAATCTGTTTAGTGTGAGCTGTGATCTTTTATTTTTATACCTTGCATAATAATATTATTCAGACAGAATTTTGGATACGGCGGCCCGTCTCAACACAGGCTGTTCACCTGAGCTAGACACAGAGTTATTGTGTGTACTCAAGCACAGGTGCACACTGTATTTCCTCACTCACATAGTCTGATTGGACGTTAATTCTACACGACCGGAAAGATATCAAGCGCAGGACCAACTATTTTACATGCTTTCCTGTCTGCAGTGTGAAACACAGCTCTTCCGGTCTGAAAATTTCTTGGTAAAAACACCTACGAGGGCTGCACTAAAAGTATCGGGAATGGAATATTTCCACTGTTCCTGTCATATTAAAATCTTTTTAATTGAAAACCCCTTGATTTTAAAAATTGTTATACCATTTATTTATTTTAAAAAAGATTCTCGGTCTTGTCACAAGGTTTTGTCAAACTTGTTTAGTCGTTGAGTAAATGGAATTGACTCGAGAAAATTCAAGAGCGATGATTTATTATGACTTTCGAAGTGGTTTAACACAAAAACAGTGTGTTGACCGGATGATTTCTGCATTTGGTGATGAAGCCCCATACAAACCACAATTTATCGCTGGTTTGCTGAATTTCAACGTGGACGTGTCAAGCTCAGTAATGATCCTCGTCAAGGTCGTCCAAAAACTGCAGTCACCCAAGAAAACGTTGATGCTGTGCGTAAGCTGATTGAAGAAGATCGACATGTGACATACCGCGAAATTCAGCAACTTTAGACATTGGCAGGAGTCAAATACGAATAATCTTGCATGAACAATTAGGTGTAAAAAAGTTGTTTTCCCGATAGATACCGCATTCGCTCTGTGAAGAGCAAAAAGCGGCTCGCGTTACTTGGTGCGTCAGAACTCTCGAAAGATTCCACGCAGGATCCTCAAATGCTGTATACAACATCGTATCAGGTGATGAATCCTGGATATACGCGTACGAACCCGAAACAAAAAACCAGTCACGAGTTTGGGTGTTCGAAAATGAGTTAAAGCCAACAAAAATTGTTCGTTCACAGAGTGTTGCAAAAAAAATGGTGGCCACGTTTGTCTCCAAAACCGGCCATGTTACGACTATTCCTCTTGAGGGACAAAGAACGGTTAATGCATAATGGTATGCTAGCATTTGTTTGCCACACGTCGTTTCTGAACTCCGTAAAGAGAACTGCAACCGCCGCATCATCCTCCATCACGACAATGCGAGTTCTCACACCGCACACAGAATAAAAGAGTTTTTAGAGCAAGAAAACATAGAATTATTAGACCATCCGCCGTACAGCCCCGACCTAAGCCCTAATGATTTTTATACTTTCCCTAAAATAAAGAATAAATTGCGTGGACAGAGATTTTCATCACCTGAAGAAGCTGTGGACGCCTACAAAACGGCCATTTTGGAGACCCCAACATCCGAATGGAATGGTTGCTTCAATGATTGGTTCCATCGTATGGAAAAATGTGGCAAATTTCGCGGAGAATACTTTGAAAAGCAATAAATACATTTTTAAATAGTAATGTTGTGTCACTTCCTTGATTCCCGAAATTTTCAGTGCCGCCCTCGTAATAACTGCTTTTGGCCCGACCCGGGACGATATGACCACTAGTCTAACAAAATAGTCAAACCTACATAATAAATCGACTGCAATATTGCATGCCCTGGAGTCAAAACCTGACGAATATAGTCCAGGTCAATAACCAACATCGTTTTAAAACAAATTGTTAATTTTTATAATTACGCGAATACTACAGGTTGCCAGATGGTCGGATTTCGTCTGGATTCTCCCGACATTTTAAATGTTCTCCCGACTCCCGAAAAAAACTCAAAATTTCCAGACAAACAGCTTCACATCATAGCTGCCTTGGATTTAATCTATACAAATAAATAAAATTGAATCGTCTGTTTGTAATGTCAAAATTACAGCTATTTACTAAATACATATGAAAGTATACGGTACTAATGACAAAAATACAGTTTTTAAAGTTTTTGCCTGTCTGTCTGTTTGTTCCGGCTAATCTCCTAAACGGCTGGACTGATTTTGACGGGATTTTCGCTGGCAGATAGCTGATGTCACAAGGAGTAACTTAGGCTACTTTTATTTTAGAAAAAAGAATGAGGGTTCCGCGCAAAAAATTGTAATAAATTCCACGTGCTCTAAATCACGCGGAACGCAAAAAAATAAAAACCCCACAACACGCGGGGAACAGCTAGTATAAGCTGAGGTAGTAATTAGACTTAAAAATTGTTTGAATTTTAAATCTATTCAAATATTAAAGGATCCAAATTGGTGGACTCAGTAAAATCCAACGCTAAATACATGTAGCGACTTAAAAATAAAAATTAATTGTACATAAATTGGTTATGTGTCAACAATTTTAAGTAATTTTGTAGCCTATTAGTTTGAATATGAACTTTTTATTTTTAATATTTATTTCTCCTGACAATACCCACTTTAAAATTTTCTCCAGATATTTTGGTCTTCCGACCTGGCATTCCTAACTTCACTTCTTCAGTGAGGAGACGTCGTAGGTCGAGAATTGCTCGTGATGGTAACCATCATGTGGTTTTAGCCGGTGGGAGTCCAGCATAACCTTCCTGTTCCCTCGCAGCTGATGGCATCCATGAGGATTTCCCCACGAAAAAAAAATTATTGATAATTTGTTCTTCGATCGTCGGCACATACTTATATTAGATATGAGGAGTATAGAACATTGTATGTTCCGATATACACTGCGAGCACTGCTCAGTGCTCTCACTGGTGAAAAATTCGTTCCGTTAGGGACTGCCAGTATACTGCCCGCAATACCCTAGGGAAATATATGACGTCATAAATCGCCACCATTCTTGTACTGTGAGCCCTGGCACTTTCGAGGTAAGGTGCTCTCAGTACTTTGACCACGTGATCATAAAACATAGCAGCATCTAGAGATTTAACAGCTTCCACGAGTGATTCCTATTAATATTAATTAATATTGTTATTCAAATAAACTTTTATACGTGGTAGAGCCAAGCTGCAGTTATATTACTGGTATAGTTGTAGCACGAATGGGTCGGCTCGACCGGGGAAGGACCACGGTCTCACAGAATACCAGCGTAATCTCCACCTTATGGTAAGTGGCTGCTGTGGCCCATAGACATCTACATCTATCCTCGTTTGCGAATCAAAATGCAGATGCGTTGGCACGCGTGAGGACTAAGATGGAATGCCTCTTTTCCAGTAAAAAGGGTATCCGGTTCTCTACAGTCACCATACGAAACACAGCAGTGTTAAGCTGCTATTTGTCGCTGGTATTCTGTGAGATCTACAAGAAAGCTGGTGATCCAATTGCACAATTTCTCGGGAAGCCCATAGGAAGTAAGCTTCGAAAGAAGCGATTTGAGAGAAACCCGATCGAAAGTCTTCGCAATGTCCAAACTAACGGCCAATACCTACCCCTTGGACTCTACTGCCTCCGCCCATCTATGAGTTAAGTAGACCTGAAGATCACCAGTTGATCGACCCCGACGAAAACCGTATTGACGATCACTAATCAGCTGGTGATCTGGTCTGGTAGTTAGGTCTGATCGGTCGCATTTTTTAGGGATCGGGTGGACGAAAGCCGCCTGCCGAGTATTCGGGACTACAGAAAAGACGCGTTAGACCGGTGCCAACTCTGGAGCACACGACCTCAGCTCAATTGGTGGGATTCCATCAGGCCCACTCGACTTGTGGATGTCCAGGGAGAGGAGTTCTTTGTAAACCGAGCGCTGTGTGAACTGCACATTCGGTATGGAGCACTCACACCACGAGATGGTCGGCGTTGTGCTCCCCCGTCATCGAGAGTCAGGTTGGACGCAAAGAAAGAGCCTAGTAGATAGGCTTTCTCCTTTGCTGCATGGGCCAGTGACTCATTCTCCTGTGCGGAGATGGCTGCCAGAAGTTCCCTTGGACAGCCCTGTCGAGAGACCAGAATGCACGGGTTGCCAAAGGAAGGCGCACTAGTTTCTCGCCAATTCTGCCGATGTGCTCTGACTTTGCCTGGGAAATGACTCTTTTGAAGGACCTGGAGGCGAAATCATACTTATATTTAAGAGCGCTGGTGTTTACATTCCGATACGTTGATGCGTCAGCCCAGGCCTGCTTATAGTGTGATGCTATTTTACAGGAGCGACCAAACCATGACTGATATCTCTTCCAAATTTTCATTATTATATATGAAATATTTAGTTTTCAGTTGGTGTATTATAATTCGAAAATGTAATGAATTTTGTTTTTGAGACTTTCGCACGCAGTATTGCTTTCCAGCCAAGTCATTATGGATGTACAGTTAACAATTTAACGTTATTTCTAATTCACGGTAACTTCTTCATTTAGTTTTGGTATGACGATGGAAATATCGTTGGCAAAAAGTATAGACTAATGTCATTTATGTATAATAGAAATATCAGTGGAACCAGTACACTGCCCTGGGGCACGTCACTTTTATTGTGGGTAAAAGAAGATCTAAATGACGTGCGGTAATGCTTTTTATCAATACGCGTCACTTCAACACATTGTTGCTGGTTTTCTATATATCATTTTAACCAATTTAATGCAGGCCCACGGATTCCATATCTTTCACATTTCTCTATTAGAATAATATGGTCAACACAGTCAAATGTCTTTGATATGTCATAAAATATGGCAACTACTGGTACTTTTTGTTGATAAAACCAGCTGTATGTATTAAAGAAAATGCGGCATGTATTGTGGATTTTCCTTTATGGAATCCGTTCTGTTCTTTACGGCGAATATTATATAAGTAGTTGTAAATTCTATTCTGAAATATTTTCAAAAAAATTGGTATTGGTTTGTAATTGGTTAATTCGTGGTGATCATCTTTTTTTATGGAGCGATTTCCTAATTGAGTTTTTTTAATTTTTCGGGAAACGTACCCTGGGTGAATGACAGATTTATGAGTTTTGCAAGAATAGGGCCTATATTATCAGCGCAATCATTTAGTAT